TGTCTTCGTCCTTCCTGTCCGCCAGTGCCTCGCCTATGAGCTGTGTCCATGCTTTCTGCTTCACTTGCTGAATAAACCCGTCAGTCTCTTACCCTGCAGCTCATCCTGAAATTCTTCTTTGGAGAACCTATGGGCCAAAAATTGAGGTTCCCTCCTCTCCTTTAGGGAACTTCCTTGAGACCCTCACCCCAGTGACAAAACTCAACGGCCTTTGGTGTGAGACGACTTCCTAGGTGATTTTGAAAAGTGACTTTTTTTTGGTTCTTTTAAAATGCGCAGTGAAATGGAAACTTTATAGCCACCAAGTGGCGAGGTTCTGCCAAAGCGCTGCTTTGTCTGTCTACACCGTGTGGTAATGGAGTACCTAATACCTTGGTGGCAGTTCTTTCCCGGGTCTGGCGTGGCAGTCTGGGGCAGATGCCAGTCCCCTGCCTCATGGTTCCGTGAAGGTGCGCGGAGGCGTGGTTCAGAGCACAGGCAGTTCCTACAGCCCTTCACGGGGTTTCCCCCTTCCGGCTGTCCATATCTGAAGTGGCTTTCATCTGAGATGGGGCAGAGGGGACTCTCCCACGAGCTATGCCCAAGTCAGAAAGCTCCTAGTCATTTACTTCCCTGGAGAACTGTAATAATCTGTTTTATACTGGCCATTTTGTTAATTTGTGCCAACAAAGGGCACCTGACTGATAATTTCCTAGAAAACTACTGTACCTGGAATGAATCTAAACTCCTTGGGCCGCCACCCAGGATTTTTTAGATCCTGCCATGATGAGTTTGAGCTGTGTTTCTTGTTTCCCAGGGAGAGATGCTTGCACAAGGGGTAGCACAAAGATCTTTTGAGCTGGAAGTGAAGGGGGCACCTTACCCTTCTGGGCTCCCTCTGCCTCCAAATCAGTAGGCAGAGGAAAGGGTCAGGTCCCCCTGCTGAGTTGGCTCCAAGTGCGCTCCGTGGGGCAGGAGAAAGGCCTCTAGATTTTGAGACCTCCCGTTTCTTCTTCCATAGCCAAGAGAAAAAGGCTAAAGAAAAACCACAGGCCTGAGGAAGACAGCCAACCTCTAAAAAGTCCAGCAATGGACTGGCTGTGAGCTTCTGGTTGCTTTTGTTTGATGTGTACCTCACCGAGACGACGTAGGGTCTCACTGCGTAACCCAGGCTGGCCTGGACCTGGTGGTCCTCCTGCCTTAGCCTCCTGAGTGCTGGTGAAACGAGAGATTTGTGCAGAACCACAAACCCCGACTCAACCTTCCTGGTTCTGTCTTCCGGGACTTCTCAGACAAGGGAGAGCATGGAGGCGGGAAAGTTTCAGAGAAAGAATGAAAGCTCCCTTGGGAAGGGAGGGGAACTGAGCAGGTTGTCAATGACACTTACCAGAGTGTTACCCAAATTCGTAAGTGCGTGCTGAACTAACGCAGCTTTATTGGCTCCTGAGTGAACAGGGTTTGGAGTGGGGTGCTCCTCAAATTTCAAGAATAGTCCTCAAACTGCTTCTCCTCCACCGCCCAGCCTCCTCACCTCCTCTTCTGCGCAGGTGATCGTCAGGTCCTCCTGTTTTGCTGCCTGTTCTGGAACTTTTGCTTATGGTGAAACAGGAATGAAAAACATTCCGTAACTAACTTTATGCCGTTATTCTATTGTGTGCCTCTCACATAGTTATTGGGTCCTTTCCTTAACTTTTTCCTGACTCATAATCTCTCACTGGGATTACAGGTGTACACCGCCACGCCTGGCTACCTCATTTTAAATAAGGATCGTGTTGGAAATTAACAGATATGGTGTTCACAAAATCGGCTAGCAAGACTGGCTGAGTTCCAAGAAGACTATAGATACTGTGTTGATTCAGTTTGTGGGGACAGGAAGGTCTCTTATTTTCTGAGTATTGTGGAATAAAAAGTCTGACGCAGACTTAGGGGTCACTTGGCTGGAAGAGCCTGAAGTATGGATGCAGGAAAGTCACCCTGCAGCAAGGAGACCTGGCAGTGACCATGTCAGCCTGAGAGAAGCACCAACGGTCCCAAGTGTTGTCCTGGCAACAGTTACTGCGGCTTGGGGGATGGAAAGGAGGGCTGAACTGGAAAGCCCAGGGGACTTTTAGGGCAATGACAATGTTTTGTGATGCTGTAATGGTGGATACCTGACCCTGTGCATTTGTCAAAGCCCTTAGATCATACAACACAGAACAAGAGTCCTTCTGCAAGCCAGGGACTTACATGTGAATAACCGAGTGAAGACACTGGCTCATCAAGCATAACAGATGTACCACAGTGATGGGAAGAGTTAATAGGTGGGCGGAAACTGACAGGAGGGGACATGTAGGAACTCCCTGGACCATCTACTGTTTTCTGGAAATCTAAAGCTAGTCTAAAAAATATCTAAAGTACATCAGTAAGTATATAAACAAATGAAAACCCTGTCCCAGGAGCCGCTGGAGGTCTGGCTCCATCTGCTCTGCACAGCGTCCCAGGAGCAGCAGGGAGACCCCACGGTGTGGCCCACCTGCATGTGCCCCGAAAGGGAAGGCTCTGCCTCATGCCCCCTTCCAAGTCAAAGCTGCCCGGGCTTCCCAGGCACAGAGGGTCCGGGGTTCCTCAGGAGTGCTGGCTGCTGAGGCAGCAACAGGAAAGCCAGCCCAAGTCCCCAAAGTCACCCCACCCTGACGCTCTAAGTGACAACACTACGGCCTGCTAGTTGTGTTTATTCTGTTTCAAAATGCTTAGATTGAACATTTAAGACAGAACCAGAGAGTAAAACCAGATCAAAGCAGCAAGCTGTCTTCCATCTGCTCCTTTCAGATGTTAAGCCGTGAGAAGAGGGAGCAATAAAGGGGCTGTCATACCTGCCTTCTTTTGGATGTTAAGAAGCTGAAAATTCTTTTCAGCTGATGGAGAGACAAGAAACTGGAGGGCAGGTCTGGCAAATGGAAGTCCTGAAACCACACCGAGTGTCCCCGTGTTTTGGGTAGGCCTACTTTACTTATCTTCATGTTTTAGAGTAATAGTGAGCCCCATCTCAGCCATGTTTTGGGTAACAGACCAACCTGAAGCCCGTTGTCCCTAATGATTTTGGGTTGCTAGATGACATGGCCAAGTGTAGTCCCCCAGCTCGGAACCACCAGATAAGAACCACCATTCAGTCTTCCTCACTCCTGATTTCTTATGTGTGAAATACAGGAAATGTCTCTCCCTCCCTTTCCCATGTCTCCTGGTTTGTTTGTTTTTGCAGTACTGGGGCTTGAACTCAGGGCCTACACCTTGAGCCACTCCACCAGCTCTTTTTTGTGATGGGTTTTTTCAAGATAGGGTCTTGTGAACAATTTTCCTGGGCTGGCTTTGAACTGTGATCCTCCTGATCTCTGCCTCCTGAGTAGCGAGGATTACAAGTGTAAGCCACCGAAGCCCAGCTCATTTCTCCTGTTTTATAATAAATCCTTGGCAAACTTTTATCTTGTGAGATGCTCCTGTGAGACCCTCAAAATGCTCATGATCGTGAATCTCAAGTTCCTGGGAACCGTGTGGAAACTCGACCCCCTTATTCTGACCCTTCCCTTCCCTTCCCTTCCCTTTTCTGGTAACATGATCACCCCTCCCGTGATAACTTCAGCATCACTCTCCCGTGGAAAGGAAAGTTCTCCCCCACCCACCAAGCAAGTTTCACTCTGCACCTAAGAACCTTCAGACTGAGTCGAAACCACTCACCTCTCCTCTGCGCTAATTAAAGCCAGTGCGCACGGATGGGCTTCTTTCAGGGGCAGCCTTTGTTTCAGCCCAATGTCTGACAGTTAGGATCTTCATTTAATTCATTTCTGGTACTTTAATTTCCAACATGAACTCTGCAGCCATGGTTTATCAGAATAATGGGTTTCAGTGCTTTCACGTGTCACTGTGTCATTTGTGCTTTTTGTGATGAACTCCCACCTGGTCAGACAGCACCATCATTGTGGTAAATACACCAGATGGAAAACAGTAGCAATCTGGATGGTGGTGAGAACAAAGGAAAGTGCTGGTCTGTCTTGGTGTGTCTGTGTGACTGCAAAGTGCAGGAGGAGGGCTGATAGCCTGAGGAGACCACCAGCCATCCCAAGTCACTAAACCTAAAATTAAAACTGGAACACAATCGTGTCTCCTGCCAGTCCTAAAAAATGAGAGCGCTGGATTGGCCGCTCAGGGTATGAGGACGGTGGTGCTGCACCACTGCCCTGGTACGCGCCCTGTGCCTCTCTGGGTGCACCCCTTCCCTCCAGGAGCCTTGTCAGAGGTCCCGGACTCCTGCAGTACAAGGGCAGGACGTACTCCTACAGAGTGTTGAGCACAAGTCACAGGTCAGAGCCAGGAACAGGAGGAGGAAACTGAGTCACGGACCCATGGCTAAAGCGCAAAAAGAACCACAGAATGGAAGAACCAGATACTCACAGGACCCTACAACAGGAGGGGAGGAAGGAGGCAAATAAGATCCAACCAGAACAGAACCAGAAGAGGCAATGGGGAACCTGACAGGCCTCACACAGGGCCTGGGGCAAGCTGTTAGGAGCTAGGCTTCCTAGCAGCCAAGGTGAAAGGAAGCAACGGCAGAAGTATAAGCTTAGCAGGATCACAAGGATCGTTAATATTAAAAGTTCAGCCTGGTGAGTGGCTCACGTGGTTGAGCTCTGCTAAGATCCTGAGTTCAAACCCCAGTACCACAAAACAAACAAATTAGCCTGGCATCCCATAGCAAGAACTCAGTGATGGAGAATGTGGGCTGACATCAGGACACCCCTGGAGGAGACCTGGGGACATCACACCAAGACCCACTTCACTGGAAAGACTCCACAGAGGGCTTCTGTGCAGAGCTCTGCTAGATTGGGGGCAGAACCTATAGGTGAATCCCATACCCAGCTGCCTGGAGTGAGGGCAACAGGAAGAGTGAAGGGGTGAAGGTCATCCACTTTCCTTAAACACCAAAAATCTGAGCTTTCAGAGATGGAGATAAGCAGTCAAAATAATCTCAAGAAATACATGTGACGGCAGCCGCCGTCGCGATGGCCCAGCAGCAGATGACCAGCTCGCAGAAGGCCCTGATGCTCGAGCTGAAATCCCTGCAGGAGGAGCCGGTGGAGGGCTTCCGGATCACCCTGGTGGATGAGTCCGACCTCTACAACTGGGAGGTAGCCATCTTCGGACCCCCCAACACGCTCTACGAAGGCGGCTACTTCAAGGCACATATTAAATTTCCTATTGACTACCCATATTCACCACCTACCTTCAGATTCTTGACCAAAATGTGGCACCCCAACATTTATGAGAATGGAGATGTATGCATTTCGATTCTTCATCCACCTGTAGATGACCCACAGAGTGGAGAACTGCCCTCAGAAAGGTGGAACCCTACTCAGAATGTGAGGACTATCCTGTTAAGTGTAATCTCACTGCTTAATGAGCCCAACACCTTCTCCCCAGCCAATGTGGATGCTTCGGTTATGTTTAGGAAATGGAGGGACAGCAAAGGAAAAGACAAAGAATATGCTGAAATCATTAGGAAACAGGTTTCAGCCACTAAGGCCGAAGCAGAAAAAGATGGAGTAAAGGTCCCCACTACCCTGGCGGAATACTGCATCAAAACTAAAGTGCCTTCCAATGACAACAGCTCAGATTTGCTTTATGATGACTTGTACGACGACGATATTGATGATGAAGATGAGGAGGAAGAAGATGCCGACTGTTATGATGATGATGATTCTGGGAATGAGGAGTCGTGACGGGCTCCTTTACTGCCCCTGTACTGCCCTGCCGTCTCAGGCCAAAGGGAGGGGAGCAAGTGGGGACCTAGCAGTGGCCCCTCAGCAAAAACTTATTCACAGGGGGTGGGGAAAACAAACACAGCTCCTGCTGGCTCCCCTTATGGATCTCAGTTTGCTCCTTTTTATGGACCTTTAATGGAGAGAAAGTAATCCTCCACAGAATGTCTGAATTCTTGCATTCTTTACCCTTCCATCACTGTATTGATTTTTTTTTTTTCTTCAAAAACCACCATCACCCAAACTCCTGCCTCACTTCATCTCTACAGAATGTTCACAGCAAAACACATTTGGTCTGTTTTTAGATTCCTAAAGAATTAAATAGTCAAGACATTTAATGTGTTTAAAGCTGGGAACCTGTAGGGAGTTCACAAGTGCTGCATATATTGGGTAGCAAAAGGAAATGGGGGGAAAAAAACCAAAAAAACCCACAAACCCACAAAAAAATTGCCAAGGTTTAGCTGCTTATTCACATTAGTATGTGTGCATTTGTTCAGACCCATGGTGGTGACTTTTGTTTCTTTCCCTTCCTAAGGCTGGGAATCGGTGGGCATCAGGGACTGACTTCATGCTAAGCTTGATAAAGTGTGCTTCTTCTGCCTCTTTGAAATCATCTAACATGGAGGCCTCAGCTACTCTGAGGAGAGATCAGATTTTGTTTTTTGAAATCGATTGGGATCTAAAGCCTAAAATAAATATTCATACTTTACATAAAAAAAAAAAAAGAAATACATGTGAGGGGCAGGTGTGGCAGCGCACATCTGTAATCCAGTACCCAGGAGGCGGAGACGGGAGGGCCATGGTCCCAGTCCAGCTCGGACAAAAGCAGGAGACCATATTTGAAAAACAAACTAAAGCCAAAAGGACTGGGGGATGTGGCTGAAGTGGTGGAGTACCTGCCTAGCAAGCCAAGACCCCAAGTTCAATCCTCAGTGCTGCAAAAAAAATATATATGTGTGTATAAACATATATCCATGTGTGCACAATTTAAACATACACAAAAATTTACACACAAATGACGAATTATTATCTAAAACATAAACAGTAAATATAAAATAAGATAAAAGTATTAAAAAATACTTATAACCCATTAAATACTTGCATATTTAAAACAACACATATATCTCAGAACATACATTTACATTCAAACTTTTTCATTAAAAAACATGCTAATTGTACTTCTATATTCTGATATTTGCTATTTTCTGCTTTTCTGCCACAATGGCAGTGCCATTTTCACCAGATGGGTGTGGCGACCCTGGGGCTCTCTAGGCAGAGTTCTTCAGGCACCCTCCAGGCCCAGCGGGTCAGGCAGACGCCAGGCTCTTAGCCTGACCAGGTGGAAGTGACTTTGGCCCTTCTACCTGTTACCTGGGTAATTCTGAAGGAAAGGATGCCCAGACATTGCCATCCGTGCCAGGCACCGGACAGGCCTGCAAGATGGGCAGATATCCTCCTGACCTCTGGCCCCCACCCAGTCTCTCCATCATCACTCCTGTCTGCACAGCCAGTGATCTTTGGATTTTTTTCCTATGGATTTCAGTACAAATTTACATTCAAGGCAATTGCAGCTTGATTTGCAAATGAGCAAACAATAATGTAAGAAGTGAATTAGGGCAACGGCCCCTCCCCCATCCCTCTTGCCCCACCCACACCCCACCCCAAGAAGGTGCTTCCGCTGGCTGAAGCGGGATGGCAAGGAGGCCTAGACCAGTACAGGATGAAGGGACCAGGAGCATGGCCAGGCTGGGGCCTTCTTAGGCATGTACCAGGCAACACAGAGACAGTCTTGCTGACTGGTGCAGTAGAGGGAAAATGGGGAGAGAGAGAAAGAAGGAGGGAGAAAATTTGAATATGAGAATGAACCTGCCATGGCTCATGAGCATGGGAGCCACCCCTGAGGGTGACCTTGGGTGACAGGGGCCCCAGAGAAGGGTTCAAACTGAGGCAGCATTTCCATAGGGCCATGGGAGATGATTTCGAATTACCGTTTGAGGGGAAGCGGTCCAGGTCCCCAAGGTGATGGAAAGGACTGCTGTCTTCACTGCACCCAGGATCTGCAATGGGATGTGGGAAAGAAACTTGAGCGGTATCCCTCGCGGAGTCACGGAACACTTAAACACCCCCTTCCACCCGGTCAGGCCCCAACCCGAGGGGCCCGCTAGAGGCCTTGGGAAGCACCCTGAAAAGCAGCTGTGACCCAGGGCCTCGGTTTCCATAAGGCCCAGAGCTCAAGCCAGTCCAGAGTCCTGGAGGCGACACAGCCCACTCCCCAAAGCAGCTCCAGCTCCCACCGGAGCTATGGGACCTGTGGTCCTCGGGCCCATCCGTTTTTAAGGCCTGGCGCGGGAGACCTTTCTGCCCCTCCTTCCTTCTCTTTGCTACCGAGACCACTCCTCCCAGAGGGAAGTCGCTCCAAGCACGTCCAACCCCCAAACTTTCCCACACTTCTCGGCCGGCCCTCCAGTTCCTCTGTGACTGCTCCAAACTCTCATGTCTCCAACGGTGCCTCTTCCTCTCCTCCCCGCTTCTCCCCTCCCCCAGAAGCCCCCAATGTCCCTCTGCCCCCAGGTGCTGACCACTCCCCGCCTCCTCAGGGAAAGGACCTCTCTGCCCCGCCCTTTTAGGGGCTCGGGGATTGCTGGGTCCCCCCTAAGCCATGCTGGGCCCTGAGCCTGGAACCAGATCTGGGCCCGTGTGGCCCACAGTGTGGAGCGGGTGCCCTGCCCGGTGGGGTCTGTCCCCTGAAGAAAAGGTGTCGGGCGCAGGCCGGGGAGACCGGCAGGACAGGTGGCCCTGCGGCCCCGCCTCCAGGGACGAGGGTGAGCGGGCGGCCGTCGGGAGTGGCGGGCAGACCCCGCCCGGCCCGCGGACTTCCGTGCGCTCGGAGCCAGGGTGCGGGCAGCTGTGCGCGCGGGCCGCGGTGGGCGGCGCAGGGCGGGGGCGGCGGGCCCCGGGCGCTGGTGACCCCGGTGCCATGGCGGGGATCATTCTTGCGCTCTGGGCGTCCCTGGTGTCCGCGGAGCTGGCCAAGATGCCAGGTAAGGGCTGGGCGGGAGGACCCGGGCCGGGCCCGCGAGCCGGCCGCCCACCGACGCGCGTTGCTGCCCACAGTTGGGAACCTGAGCTGCTTCTACTGCTTCAAGGTCAAACGCGCGACCCAGTGTCTGCCCATCGCGTGCCACGCCAGCGAGCGAGTCTGCATCTCCCACGAGGTGGTCCTCTACGCCAGTGAGTCCCCTCCCCGGCCACTGGCAGGGGTCCCGACACCCGCAGGTCTCTGCCCGCTGGACTGCACGGTCCCAGTTGTGGCCGCTCTTCCTTCCTCTCCCTCCCTCCCTCCTTCCCCACCCCCCTTAACACCAACTCTTAAACTGCCACCAGGACAGTGTGGCAAAAATTCACAAAAGAGCAGGATCGCAAAAGGAGGGTCAACAGGATGTGGCACCATCTTGCAGTTCCAGGCAGTGGTCGCTCACCAAGGCCACCCACTCATGTGATGCACCATGGGCTTAACAGGCAATTAAGACCTCGTTTTAAGAAGGAGCTCTAGAGAGTGCTAAGAAATATGGTTTCCTAGCCCCATGGAAACTCATAAAGGCGGGTGGATGCGCCTGCTCTGAGCACACAGGGTGCTGGTTCTTGCTGGGTGGATCTAGCTCCCTGGGGTCAACCCAGCAGAGCTGCCTCCTCTCTGAGGCTTCAAGACCCAGGGACCCTGCAGCAGTGTAATTGATTTACTGGGACTCCTCTCATGAACCTCAGGAATTCTGTTTCCTGGTTCCCTGGGAATAACCCAAGGAAAAGCACATTGCCAGTGGGCCTTCTGTGGGTGTCTCTTTAAAGTGGAGTTGTGGAATAAATAAGGCAGAGGCCTTTCTACCTTCTGCTCTCGCTGGGCAGCAGGCTTCTGACAGGATTGTCCTTTGTGAGAGTGTCCTATGAGGTACAGGTGGCCACTGGAACCACGAATGAGGGACATCACTGTTCTCCTCCTTTGCCATTGGAGCAGGTTAAAGGCACATGTCAGGTGGGATTCTCCCAGGGGAGCCCCCTTTTCCCTATAGTAACAGCCCCACCCACTTCTCTTCTCCATAAAGTAAAGGAATTTGCCTGTGGTAACAACGTTGAAACTTTGGCTTAATGGTTTTTGTACCTTTCCCCCCAAAACGCTTTGGCTCCACCCAAGCTTTTTGTTCAATTTCTCTTGGTCTGGAAGATAACATAACAAGGACCCCTCTGCAGGGAGAGTGGAGTTGGAGGGCTGTCTTCAGGGGCCACCTGTGCAAGGAGGCTCTCCACTTGACCTTTGAGATCCAAGCTACTAGCACGGGGTGGAGGCAGGGGCTACTCAGGGGCTGCTGGAAGTCAGGGCTTCCCAGGAGGTCACAGGTCCGTGCTCTCTGCTGGGGTCTTCCCTCAGGTTGACCTGAGTCCTGTGTCACTGTTCTCTGTGGCCCATGACCTTCTGTCACACAATGTAGTACAATATAATCTACTACGTTGCAATGTGTTATAACACAATATATCTTAATATGTTTATAACTGCAGTATAATGTGATATGACAGTATGTTGCAGAGTAATATAAAACAACATAACTTAACTGCCATGCCATTAAGATAATGATCAACATAACATAACAAATTCTAACACAACACACCAAATAGGGCATGATATGATGTCGCGGGTTTATTCCACCCCAAATGGCCTTTTTTCTAGTTGGGTTGTGATAGTGGCTCGCCTTCAATGGCTTAATGGTTATTTGAAGTCAGAGCTCCGCAGAAGTCTCTGTGGCATCTTTGGATGAACAGTTGAGACATCTGAGCCCAGCTGGGCACCCAGTAGTTCTCTGTGGTGACCAGTCTCTCTCACCAGCATACCCTGCACTGGCAGAATTATTCCAAGCTCATCTGGCTGCATGGAGACTCCCCCACCTCTTTCCTGTGCCCCAGGTAGATGGGGACCTTCTGCAGCCCTATGCCCACTGCTCTTCAGGGCCTCACCTGTGAAGGGACAGCTGGTGGTGGTCTCCAGTGCCCCTTGCAGGACCAGATCCTGTGGCCCACAAAAAAGCCCCTCCCTCCTCTCCCCTCTGACCTGGGACTGTGGAGCCACCTGCCATCTCCTCTCTTCTGCAGAACCAAAAGTCAAAGTTCTAATCAGCAAGAAATGTGCTACCCGGTGTCCCAACTCCAACAGTTTGTTTGAGTGGTCACCAGTCTTCAGGATGAAGGGCAAGATCATCAGGCAGTGCTGCTCCAGGAATCTCTGCAACATGGCACCCACCTCACAGGAGGGGCTCTGGGCCCTGCCAGGGGGGCTTCTGCTGCCAGTGGGCCTGGGTCTCCTTAGGATCCTGATGTGAGAGTCCTCCTCCTGCATCTCCTCAACCCCACTAGCATATCCTGTCCTCCACCTTCAGCCGCTTCCCTACATCCATCCCTTCCAGGACGCCTAAGGGACACTCCCTCCCTGGGGTGGCAGGGAGCCCATTGTTGCCTTCACCCTAGATCCTCAGCCTCCCTGGCCAGAACTTTTGCTCAGAGAGTAGGAATGCAGGCCTGCTCCTCATGGAGAAGGGGTGTCTCCAGTTTGGGGTAATGGCTCCCTATAGACAGGTCCTTGCCCTAAACAGTCTGCCCAGGGCCCTGTGAAAGGCAGGAAGGGCCTGGTGAGGTTGGAGCTGTGACCAGACACTGATCCTACTCCACCTTCCCCCATCTCACATCCCAAGGGGCACAGTCGGAGGAATCCTGTGAGTTTCCCGCTGGGACCACACCCCTCACTCCTCACAGACAATAAACTCTCCTTGTCCCATGGGCTGGCTGGCTCCTGCTCCTTTACTGGCCCCTGCCCCACAGACCTGTCCCTCCTCAGCTCCCAGCTCTGGGTGGAGTGACAAAGATCTGGAGAGGACCATCCTGCTGGGCTGCAGCCATACTGAATATAGGACTGTCCCGGTAGCCCAGGACACAGCCCTGGGTGAACAGGATGTGCCACACTCAGGTCTGGGCTCCTAGGAGGGGTGCTGGACACTGAGGAGGGAAGGGGAGGGGCAAAAGTGCCACAAAGGGTGGGAGAGAGAGTTGGGACTGCCCAAGAATGTGTGTTTGGTAGCAGTTTTGTTGCAGGGAATGAGGCCTGATGACACAGCCGGGAACCCTGAGCAGAAGGGACCCAGGTGAGGGCACAGGTGAGGAGGAGGTGTAGCAGGGAGGAGAATCAGAAAACAAACAGGCCTGAGTTCTGATAAGGTAGCAGGGGGGAAGGGATGGCATAGCAAAAAGATAAAATCTAAGGAATTCAAAGGTGAAGAAGGTCACATAGCTTTAGGGGTAGGGGGCACAAAAATCACTAGGGTGAAGAAGCATATAGAATTGCATGTAACCATATATGGGTTAAACTTTGTTGTTTTTTAATTTTATTGCCTCTGATACTTGCTTGCAAGGATATATAAGGTGAGACCCCTTTGTTCTCGGGGCTCAGCCTTTGGACACGAGTCCACTGAGTCTGTGCTGGCACAATAAATGTTGCTTCCTGCTAAACTGCCTCAGTGTCCCGAATCTCAGCTAAAAGCCTCCCACAACATTTCTTGGGGGCTCGTTGTCTGGGATTGTGGAGACACGGTGAGTTATCACCTCCCTTGTCACCAGGGTGCATCCTCCCAGACCTCTGGGAGGAGATTCCACCAGGCGTCAACTGACAGCTGGATCTGGAGAAGGGATTCATCCTCCCTGCGAGTCTGGGTGGGGACCTTGGATGCACAATGGACCCAGTGAGGCACAGGAACCAGCGGAGGGGAAGGGAGCACCATTCATCAGACCGGTAAGAACCCAGGATCGAGTTCAGGCCTGCCCCAGGAGGCAGAAGGGGAGCGTGATCATCTCCAATGAGACAAGCTAGTAACCACATTTTTGGGGGTGAAACTCAGGGAGTCCTGATCCTCATTTCCGTGGCGAGCTCATAGGGTCAAGGGTGAACCCCAATGGGGCAGGGTCTGGGGTTTATACAGATGCACTACCACCAGAGAAATGCCTAAATCTCTGGGAGGGGAGTGGCAGGAGACGACAAAGTGGCTGCTTTTCCAAAACCCCTCCCCCTCTGTGTGTGTCTGGCAGGCGGGTAACAGGAGGAGATGGGCAACAGGAGGAGATGGGCGGAGGCCAGAGGAAGAACACCCCCTTGGAGTGTATGGTTAAAAACTTTAAAAGGGGATTTAATGGAGATTATGGAGTTAAGTTAACTCCTAACAAGCTTAAGTTCCTTTGTAAAGTAGACTGGTCTGCTCTTGGTGTAGGATGGCCCCTGGAAGAGTCACTAGATAAAACTTTGGTTAATGAAGCTTACAGAATTGTAGGGAAGCCTGGACCCCCAGAACAATTTCCCTATACTGACTGCTGGCAGGATGCCGTCCTCAGCTGGCTCACATGGCTAAGGCCTTACCTGGAAGAGGCCTGTAGAATTATGGTAGCTAAGGTGGCTGCAACTTCCATGTGTAGAGAGAAAACAAAGGAGCCTATACTTGCCAGGGAGCCTGAGGAAGCACCACCGCCCTACGTGCTACTTTTTCCACCTTCGCCATCAGCATCCAGTTCGCACCCCCGCTTCCAACATTGGATGGGGAAACTCAAGGGACAGTCACACCTGTAAAATCTGACTTGGAAGCCTTGAGAACCTCGACTCCTCTAAACCCCAAGTGCTACGGACTTCATATCCATTTCGAGTCTGCCCACACCCCCCATTCAATCGGGAACATCTAACCAGTCTCTGTGAGGACCCCTCCTCTCCTCAGACTCCCGCTGCCCTGCAGATCCCCTGAGGGAAGCCCAGAGCCCCATGTATTATGACCAGGATGGTCAAATACAAGGATGACAGGTATTTGTCTATCAGCCCTTTATCACCACAGACCTCCTCAACTGGAAACATCACATCCCCTCCTTTATGGAAAAGCCCCAGGCCCTGATTGATTTGATGCAGTCTATCATCCAGACTCACAAACCCACCTGGACAGACTGCTGGCAGCTTCTTCTGACTCTGTTTAATACCGAAGAGCGACGCCATGTAACACTGGCAGCTCTAAAGTGGTTAGAAGATCATGCTCCTGAGGGCACCCTAAAGGCCAAGCATACGCTCAGGCCCAGTTCCCCGAGGAAGACCCCCATGGGGCCCCAATAAGAGCCGAGATTACCAGAGACTTGGACGATATCAGGGGGCATTACTGGGAGGCACGACGGAAGGAGGAAGAAAGGCCATGAACGTGAGCAAAACATCAGAGCTCCTCCAAGGGCCGATGAGAGTCCCAGCCAGTTCTATGAGTGCTTGTGTGAGGCGTTCTGCTTGTACACCCCCTATGACCCAGAAGCCACTAAAAACCAGTGGATGATCAACGCCGCTTTTGTTGGCCAGGCCCAGATGAAAATTGCAGAAACTGGAGGGGTTCACTGGAATGAACACTAGCCAGCTTCTGCAGGTGGCCACAAAGGTTTTTATCAATCGAGATCAGGAGGCTAAGTGGGAGGCTGACAGGAAGATGAAAAGGAAAGTGGACCTCCTTGTAGCAGTCCTGGATGGACAGTCAGGGGGACGCGGTGAGCTAATTCAGGTAGAGGCAGAGGCAATCCCCAAGGGTAACAGCAAATGCTTCCAGGACACCCCCACCTTAGGGAGGAACTGGGGCAAAACCAATGTGCCTACTGTTGGCAGGAAGGGCATTGGAAGAATGAGTGTCCCAAGTGAGCCGGAGACTCCCAAAAAGCCCTCCAGACTAAAGGCAGAGGTCTGGGTGGTTGAGGGAAGATATCAGCCCACCCGCAGGGGAGCCAGGCTCTGGGAGGAAAGCACTGTTGGTCTGGCAGGCCTGGAAAGCTATGAGGAAGACTAGGATAGACCGGGCTCCATTCTACTGGGCTCCCAGCGGCCTATGGTCCAAATAAAAATAGGGACCATCCCATTGATCTCATGATGGACACAGGCACTGAATATTCAGTTGTGACCCAACCAGTGGGTCCTCTTTCCAACAAGCATGCAATTATTATTGGTGCTACAAGGGACCAAGTCTGCTGCCCCTTCCTAATGGCTAGATGATGCAATCTAGGGTGTCATGAAGTAAGGCATGAATTCCTCTATCTCCCTGATTGCCCTGTGGGCCTGATGGGCAGGGATTTGCGATGCAAACTGAGGGCACAGATAACTTTTGGTTCGGATGGCACAGCAGCCTTAAAGTTGAGAGGACCTGAGGCAAAGACTTTTATCCTCACGGTTGCACAAGGGGAGAAATGGTGTCTGTATGCCCTGAAGGGAGGTGCCTTGAGATTCCTGAGCTTCCCTTAAGATTCCAGGTGCATGGGCTGAAGACAACCCCCCAGATCTGGCCAAAATATGCCCCTGGTAGTGGTAGAATTAATACTGGGAGTCACCCCTGTCACCCCTTCATTCCTCACAAAGTCCAGGTCAGAATTGAAAAAAAACTATGACAGACTCTTAAAATATGGGATCCTTCGACCTTCTCAGTCACCCTGGAACACCCTCTTATTACCAGTTCAGAATCCAGGGACTGAGGATTTCAGACCAGTCAGGACCTCTGTGTAGTAAATTCAGCAACTGTCACTTTGCATCCCGTAGTCCCAAATCCATACATGCTTTTAGGCTTTGCCCCTGCTGAGGCAAAGTTTTTTGCCTGCCTAGATCTTAAAGACGCATTCTTCTGCATCCACTTGGCCCCACAGAGCCAGCCCATTTTTGCCTTCCAATGGGAAAATCCCAACACTGGGGAGAAGGGACAGCTAGAGCCAATTGCCACAAGGCTTCAAGAATTCTTCTACTATTTTTGGAATTGCCCTGGCGTCTGACCTAAAAGCCTTTTCAGCCAACCAGCACAGCTGCACCCTCCTCCAGTATGTAGATGACCTCCTGTTGGTTGGATCAACCCAGGTGGACTGCATGGAAGGGACACACCTTCTCCTTTCTCTTTTATGGAAGGCAGGATATAAGGTCTCTAGGAAAAGGCCTAGATTTGCCAAAACACTGTCAATACCTCTGTTTTCACCTGTCCCAGGGCAATGCAAGCTCAGCCCTGAGAGAAAACAGGCTGTGTGTTCCATTCCAGCCCTCATACCCACAGGCAAATCAGAGAATTTCTGGGAGCCTCAGGTTTCTGTCGAATCTGGATCCCTAACTACTCCCTCCTGGCCAAACCCCTGTCAAGGCCACAAAGGGGGAGAACAGGAGCCTTTGATATGGGGAAGGGAACAAAAGAAAGCCTTTAAAGACTGTGACACAGGTTACTCCAGAGGCACCTGCACATCCATGTTTATTGCGGCACTATTCACAATAGCCAAGTTATGGAAACAGCCAAGATGCCCCAGC